TTTTTAAAATAGAGCTAAAAACTCTTTAGAACTATTTAATAGTATATTAAAAAAAGATTAAATATCTCTTCTCAGAGCTCTATAAATGCCCTTATTCTCTTTATTTTAATAAAGAATAAAAATTTATAACTTTGTTTAGACTGCAAAGACTTAAATTATATCATAATCAAAAACAAATATTTATTATCTCTTGTAAGTAAGATGCTAAATAAACTCTCTAAAGAATAAATTTTCTCTAAGATTGATCTTAGAGATGCTTATCATAGAATATATATTTAATATAATAATTGATAAAAAATAATATTTTGTATATAATAAAGTTATTTTGAGTATAAAGTTATATTTTTTGAATTCATAAATATCTCTATCATCTTTTAAATCTATATAAATTACACTCTAATATATCTTCTTGATATATATTATCTAATTTATATAAATAATATTTTTATCTATTCAAACTCAATAAATAAGCATAAAATATATATATATAATATATTTGAACATCTAAACTGTATAAATCTATTTAAAAAGTACATTAAATATAAATTTGTTATAAATAAAATCTTCTTTCTGAAATTTATTATTGAACTTCAGAGTATTAAAATAAAATCAAATCAAGTGATGATTATTATAAAATAATCAGTTTTAAATAATATTAAAAAAGTTCAGACTTTCTTGAGATTTATAAACTTCTATCATTATTTTATTAAAAATTACTTTAAAATTATAAAATTTCTCTTTAATTTTATAAAAACTTTAAAAAAAAAAATAAAAGTCACAGTTCACATAAATAAAAAATATACAATATATCTTTAAGACTCTAAAAGAACACTTTATATAAACTCTTCTATTTATTTATTTTGACTCAAGCTAAAAAATTTAGATTGAATTTAATATCTCTATAGTAGTAGTAACTGTTATTATCTTTTAAGAATAAAATAATAATCAATGATATTCAATTATATTTTGATCTTATAAACTTTTAGATATAGAAATATAATATAATATTTATGACAAAAATTTTTTATAATTATCATATCTTTTAAGAATTGAATATTATTATCTAAAAAAAGAACTAATATTTAATTCTTATTTATTCTGATAATATTAATTTTTAGAATTTTATGATAACTAAAACATTGAATTGATATCAGTCTTGATGAGCAGAAGTATTATCAGTATATAACTTCATTCTGCATCACTGCTCAGATAAAAAAAAACTCAGCTAATAAATTTAATTATTGTATAAATTATATTGATTATTTTCATGATAAGATCATACTTTTATCTTATAATAAAAGCTTTAATACAATATCAAATAGAGTTAAAAATTTAACTTCTATAAAATGTTTATAATTCTCATTAACTATATATAGATCTATGATTAATAGTACATACTTTATGTGAAATCTCTTAAAAATAACACTTTGAGCTTTGAGTCTCTCAACTTTTACTCTGAATGTAGACTCTTTTTTATTACTACATTAGATACATATTTATAAGCTCATATCACACTTATTAAAATCACTCAACATGCTGATTAGAAAACCTTTAGAAGAGAAAAATCTAGTTTTAAAGAGATATCTTAAATATTAAAATATTTTCAAACTATTGATTAATACTATTATAGTCTTTGAATCAATATATATATATATGTTAAGTCTTTTATCTCTCTTTTTATTAAAGTATAAAACTCAGATTTTTTTATAATAGTAAAAAAGTAGAAGATAAAAAATTAAAATATAATTTTAAATAGTAATATATTTTAAATTATTTTTTAAAAAAATCTACTTTAAATAAATAATAGTGTTTATATTTTACTACAATAAATGCTGATCAAAGAGATAATCTATATCAATTATGATGATTTATAAAAGAGTCATTATAATA